ATAGTGACACCTGTCACATCAAAACCTCTTTTAAAGTATTGTCTTTAAAAATAAGTGTTTCTTGGGGCTGGCCCAGTGGCGTAGCAGTTAAGTTCACACACTTGGCTTTGGCGGCCTGGGGTTTGCAGGTTTGGATCCTGGGCGCGGACCTATGCACCACTTATCAAGCCACGCTGTGGCAGCGTCCCATATAAAGTGGAGGAAGATGGGCACGATGTTAGCCCATGGCCAATCTTCCTCAAGCAAAAAGAGGATTGGCAACAGACGTTAGCTCAGGGCTAATCTTCCTCACAAAAAATAAATAAATAAAACTCCCGCTGAGTGTCTGTGGCCACATTAAAAAAAAAAAAAATTCTTTTAAATATCCCTTTTATAAGTAAAAATATTCCTCCAAAGAGAACAGATTTATCAAGTATTTACCTAGGTCCCTAAGCCCAAAACTACAAGATGTGTTTGCCACAAGTCTACATCGTAGGGATAAGATAACTAATCTAGCGATTAATATCCAAAACAGGGGAGGAGAGGCAAATTTTAACATTATATGCCCTAAATATCTCAGAAACCAGTAGCAGGTAGATACAAGACTTCCCATCAGCAGTACCAGGATCGTAGAACACCATTTTCCAATAACAGCAGCTGACGCAGACCCATGCACCCCCCCACCCCAAAAAGTACTTGATACGGGTTTTGGGAACAGTTCTCGGCGAAAGACAACAGTGTTTAAAACAAACTCCAAAGAGTAAATATTTTAATTTTCTTCAAGAGTATTCTGTATTCTTAATTTCATAATGTTTTAAATAGTCACACTGACAAGTTACAGTTCCACAAAAATACTCATACAGCATCAGTATTCTTCAAGTATTCACATACATCCATAATGACCCTAACTAGGAAAATTAGGAAACTTAGCAACAAGAGTCAACGTACACAACGTATGTTCTTTGACTTGTGGTGAGATCAGTTCAATGTCCAAAATCAGTCAGGATGGACTAACATCAGAGTCGAACTCAGTGCCCCTACCAAACTTTGCAATGAAAAAGCAAATAGTCCTGTGTGACCGACAAGCTATACAAAACATGTAAGACAAACCAACTAGAAATTGGAAGCTGCCATTTCATATACACGAAACACATGTGATACAGCAAAGTAAACATAATTTTTAAAGGAGGGGCTGCTACTCCAACCACCCAGAGCATTAGAGACGTCTTTGAGCCCACATCACATTGACAACCTCTTGGAATAGCCAGACAGCACTCTAGTGCTTACTATGAAGCAAGATGCTTGAAACCAAGGGGCCAACAGTTGTTACAGGAGGCGAAACTGTATCTCTAATGCCTGTTTTAAAAAACTGCTGACATCTCAAAATATGAATTGTTGAAACTCACTTAAATTTCTTGTCCCAAAAGAAGCCATTATGGTGGTTAGAACGCCTTTTCTAGCTCTGATTTGCAGGCGCTACGGTGAAAAGAAAATACTTCTGATTTAAACTGGCTGACTTGCAACTGTGCATATAAAGTCTATAAAGGGAGTGTGCCTAGCATGATCCTAAAAAATAAATTGGCGTTAAAGCACTTGACTATTCTTCTATGAAAAGACTAGCTGTATCTTCCAGTAAACAGAAATAAGATTTCTTGGTAATGAAAGAAATCTTTTTTTTCTTTCATTATCAATACACTATACCAATAACCTTCCTTTTTAACCTAAGACTCACAAATTTATATTTGACTTATTCTATTTGATACCAACTGGTATGTCCAGTTGATGCATTTGCAGATACGAAAGAATATCTTTGCATTTGCATAGTCCCTTACTTTCAAGGACCTTAAAGAACTTGATGGACATTCTCTTTCATGTCTTTAGGTCAAGAGGACGTGAAGGGAAACAGGGAAAAGACTGCTCACTATAGAACACTAGCCCCGCCACACTCCTCACAATCCTGAGGAATTATACCCAGTGCAGGTGTAAGAAAACTGATGCAACGTTAAATGATTTCTCTTAAGTCACGTACCTTTTTACAATATACAAAATTTGAATTAATGTTAAGACAATTAATTGTTAATCCTGAAACCATTTAGTACAAACGTGGATTCCTCATTTTAAATTGCTGAACTTCGGCTCTGCCTGCCATTTGTGCACTCTGCTGAGAGCGCACACGGTCAGAGAAGCTGAAACAGAAGACACTCGCGGAGACACGCCGCCTTTGGACGAGCAGCCCCCGCAGGCGCAGACAGGTGTTTGGGCTGTTTGGAGACTGAACAAAGGCACTAAACCTACCGAACACAGTTTTTAAAGGAGATGGTTAAAAAGTAATTCCCTTAAAAGCTGGAAATATTTTAATAGCATTTAAGAGTGACACATGGCAGGAGGCAGGAAACACTGGTTTTTAGTATTTTTGCCATTCTAGGAGCACTGCTACTTGGGAAGATTTTTTTTCTTAAAGTGAGTTTTGCATTATAAAAATATTGATGTTAAATATACGTGCTTAGGTGGGAATCCAAATTGTACCCAAACTTTATTAAAATGAAAGTCTACTGCTACGATGTCTAGAAGAAACATTGTATTATATCAATCCCGAAAGTCGAATGTTGAGTGAACGTTTCACTTCTAACAGCAACATTGGGACAGACAGAAAGGGAAACTGAGGGATCCAAATCAGCCCCCTTCAAGAGAAGACATTGCTAGGGTCTTCACTGCCTTCACATCTGGGATGTAAGGTGGACTTAACATGCTCCGATAACACTGTGGGGTTCTGAGACTCACTGACGGATCTGGATCAAGCCTGCTCACCTGACTCCTTGGGGTGATACCTATCTCAGGCAACAACTGGACACATGCAGTCTACTCCATTCAGAGGTATCACATCAAAAGTCAACCACACAGGCACTATGGCCGTTCAGAAATGCATTACTCTAAGAGATCCAAGATCTAAAGGAGCCCGGCTACTCTGTGTGATGTGACCAGAGTGCTCTCATTCAACAGTGCCACCAGTCTGAAGTGTCACAGGTCTGAAGCGCTCTAGTGAGCATTACATCCCATATCATCATTCTCACGCACAAATGCATGCATGCACGCCCTAATCATCTGAAAATCTCTGTTGGGACTTGTCGTAAGAAACCTCTTCATTTATAAAGAGGGACACTGAGGCTTAGAGAAATTAAATGTCTTGGACAAGTCATCTGCTTGATAAGTTACAGATCTAGCAACCCAAGGATCCTGCCTAACACTCTTTTTAGTGTGTTGTCACAATACAAAAGACTTTAAAAAAGAAAAAATTAGGGATACTTAATAGTGCAGAAGTATTCAAATATATATAGGTCCTCTACATAAACATCTCAAGTAAAGAGCATATTGGTTAAACCTACACTGAATAGAGCCTCGACACTGAACCTTTCTGACACACAAGGTTTCCATTCCCAAACATGGGTTCTAACGATAGCAGGTGCAGGAGGCAGAACACAGAGAGAACCATGGAGATTACATTATAAAGATATCTGTTTAGATGGGATTTACAAACCTGATTTATCAAAAGACGGGTCCATTTGCAACTCAGAGTGTAAAGAAGAGGATGATTCTCTCTCCCTATATCTAATTGAACTTTAAGTATAACTATGGAAAATATATTTGAAAGTTAAAGAGATTTAAAATTTTTAAGTTTGATTGAGTGTTTTCCAGTTTGATGAACCATCACAGATAACACACATAGCATGTTCCATTGTAAAAGAAAACGGAGAAACCTGGGGCAGAGGAGCAGCGTGGTCGGAACGTGCCCCAGAAGCAGGCTTGACCCTTCACGATAATAAACAGCAATAGCTAGTGTTTACTCAGGACCATGGTCTCCATGGCCTCCACTGAATTGGGACCGAGTCACAAATGGTTCTGTGATGTTTAAACAGGTAGTTACTCTGAGCACTGCCCTTTTAAGTTTTTCATCAGTAAAAAGGAAACAAAATAAAATTAGATGCTACTTAACACAATTTTTATAAATTCCAAATGTTCAGATTTTTGGTTTACATTGCTTTCTTGTTGAGAACATTTAGAGAATGAAATCGACTCAATGTCATTTTCCAAACCCCAAACTGAAGTGTAGCTCATTTTCCAAATTCACCTCGACAATATTCCCCCCGCTTTAGAAAATGAGAAGTCATATCACGCAGCTTTAAACAGTGGATGAATACAAAGTTCTACATTCTCTTTCTGCTAGATTAATCTACAGTCAGGGACTGGGTTCTTGAGAACAATCTCCCACTCACTCCTAGGTAATGATTTACTTGATATCAACCAAAATCAATTTTGAGAAAGTGTTCCCAAGCATCTTGGGATAAATCATAGTATTGCATCTATGAATATGCTCTAAGAAAAGCAAAATATTCATGGAATCATAAAACAATTTTACCTTTAAATAAAAATACTTTATTCATTCCTGACAGGTTATCAAAATGTACATTGTTAACCAAGTAAAAACGGTAACTTGAAATAGTTAACTAGGGCATATTCAGACGATTTTTGGTTAATTTTAAAAGAGTGAAAACCACTTCCAATCTCCCTTTCCACACATTCCTAACAAATTGCACTATACCTGCTTAAAATTGAACATATAAATAATCATATGGGCCCCTGTTCATTACAGAATGCACATTTTCATTTACACTTAAAATAAATGAAAACTATTACATTTGAGTTACCTTCCTTTGCCAAAAACTTCCAGACTTACTCCTTACATAAAGAATATAGCACGAATTGTATTAAACTAAAAACACATACACACACACAGGATAAAGTGCAACACAACAGAACACGTCTGCGACGTCCACCTTCTCAAAGTCCCACAGAAGGATTTTCTGAGTTAATGGAAATAATGTTCTCAAGTGCATGGACACTAAATCCAACAGACTAGGTTATTTTTTCCTCACTGATATTTATATTGAAAACCCTATTTGCTTTGCTTTCCCTGTGGCTTCTCTCTCATTCTCAATGAAAGTTTCGAAGCAGTGATTCTTTTTAAACTTGAGAAAAATCAACTCCTCAGAGCAACATATTTAGTGCTTTCAAAGTGTTCAAATGTTTTTGAGCACTCTGTACTGTAAAAGGAGGTTTCCAATGATATCTCATCTGTAACAAGGAGAATTATAGTCATTTTAATAAAAGCAAGCATTCCACTAACTTGGCAGCAAATGCTCTAAGGACTTTTGACACCAGCCACCAAACATTTCTATAGGCAAGTACCAAACTAGCCCTAATATGTCAGAAGTTTTTGGTTGCATGTTGTTTTTGATATTAAATTATTTAACTAAGAAATGCTTTTGTTCCTGAGATGAGCAAAATAAAATTAAGTGAGTTTCCTCTACAGCGGCCAATGGGCCACTATGCTCCTTACTTCTACCCTCCTTATCTTCATCAAGAATCGCGTCTGAAATATCAGTCCTCCCCATGGCGCCATTTCTGTGACTCGTCTTGCCGAACATCTGGTCTAATTTGGTTTCTCATGCCACCTAACACGTTTGACGTTGCTTCTGTGGCAACAATCAGAGGTTTCACCACCGCTGGAGGAATCTGGCGCAGGACTTCGCCCACTGCACCAGTGACCCCTCTGCTCTCGTGTTCTCGAGCTGCCGTTTCATAAATGGTCTGAGCCGTGTCCGTAATTCCCTGAAAGGGGGAAGGGGAGAAGAGGAGTAAATCACTGGTCAGAAAACTCTCTAAATTATCCTATAATACACATTATGATTTAGTATTTTGTTGTGACATTTGTGTGTGGAAAATGTAGCTAAACTACAATTTCACATAGGGAAGCTTACAGAAATATTTAATGATCCAAGAATAGCTTTTCTGACACTATTAATCACTCTGGTTAAATCAAACATAGCAAACAAAGCTTCTGGAATAAATATAATCACTAAAAATATATGGTGATAGTTCCTTTGATTCAACTGTAACAAGAAAACCTAATTCTACTAAGCTCCAGAAAATTATTTAATTTGTTTTAAATTACTGGCTATGTATAAGAAAAGATAACTGTGGAACATTCAATGAAGATAAAAGGCTAAGTAGAACATTTTATTGGATTAAATAGAGAAAATTCTGAGACCATAAGGCAGGAACATGTTTAATAATTAGAAACAAAGCTTCTGTAGCATTTTTAAATCTTTCTTATAACTGTATAACATTAAAATAATCATGACTGCTAAGCTTTAAAGCTGATATACAAATGTGGAGGTCAAGCCAAAGTAGTAAAACTTTACACATGACTTTTGAATCTCTAGCATTTGTCTAACTCAGAAATCCCTTAGGGCACACGAGGGCTGTTCCACTGTGACCATTTCAGTGAAGGGCACAGCACAAGGAACTTCGGGCTCCCCAGGGAAATCAAGGAACCTTGTCCTAACCCAGAATCTAGCCATCACTTTGACAAACTAACAAGAGTATCATTTCTACCCAGCACAGAGGTAAAAAACATGTAACACCATAGGGCAAAAAAAAAAAAAGAAATCCAAAAGAACTAAAAAAGAAAAAAGGAAGTGCTATTTTTAAAACTATTTCCAAGATAAAAGCCAATAAGTAAAACCGTGAATACAGTGAAGAAAATGCTTATAATTTATACAGTTGCCCACGTCATCTTCCTGCACCCTCCCCCAGCTCCCCTCCCTAACCCATAAACAATAATCAGGTATTAGTTTATTACAATACAGTGATTAACACCACCACGTCTGGAGACAACAGAAGTAAATTTAAATCTCAACTCCAACACTTAGCTGCGTGACCTTACACATCCTTTAAATGGGGAATTAAAATAGTGTGGTGATTGTTAGAATTAAATGAAATAATGCATCTAAAGAGTTGGCACAGCTTAGCAGGTACTAGGTGTCTGTTAAATGATTCCTAGTTAACTCCTACTACCCTCACCACAATTCCCTGACTACCACGAAACAGAATTATGTAAAGCAGGGGTGGGCAAACTCTCAGGGGTGGGCAAACTCTCGTGGTAAAGAGCCAGATGGTAAATATTTGTGGGCCACACAATCTCTGTTGTATGCGTTTTTTTTCTTTTTATAATCCTTTACAATTGTAAAAATCATTCTTAGCTAGAAGGTCCATACAAAAACAGGCCTGGGCCAGATCTGACCCGCAAGCCATAGTTTGCAGACCCCTGATTTAAAGGAGGAGCCTATCTGTGAAACACATGGGATGTTTTCTCCTGATCTTTGAGTTATTAACATCTAAAAGGAAAAAGAAACTTATCACCACTTAGCAACTTCTATTTTAAAAGTTCTTTAATATAGAATTCAGGTTGAGTCTAATCAAGCACACCGTACCGCCCAATCCCTGCCTGCTGCTCTCCCCCTCCCTTCCTTCATTCTTCACGTTGATGGCGTTAGAGAGAGAACTCAAGGGTAGACCCAGATACCCGGCTCCAACCCTGGCTCCACCACTGATGCCATGTACACTGGGGAGGCCATTCCTGGACCGTTTCCTCATCTGTAAGGCAGGAAGACCACCTATCTTTAAGGATTACTATCCACTTGCACACAGTAAGCACACAAATATTTATTTTAAAACGAATATAGATTAAATTAGGCAAGCATTTTGCAAATTGCAAAGTGCTACATATCCAGTGCTATTACATCCTGCTGCCCCTGCTACACCCTGAACCCAGGATCATTTTTACAAATCTGATTTCTAACATGTCTACTGATAACTGGTGCAATCCTGACATCTGCAGGAATAGGTCTGACTGGTAATTTTCTCTCTTGATTCTCCCAACTAAATCTCTTTTTAAGAAAGGCGACCAGCAGTCTTGCCTTTATTTATCCACCAATACATTTCTTGGGGGCCCTACCTCAGTGGGCTTCCCACCATTTGGGACACAGAGGCTACTTTTGCCAGGTAAAGGCTATCCCAGGCACTTCTGCCTGTCAGAATATGATGAAGAAAATGTCTTTAAGGAAATCCTAATACACGAATCATAAGTAAAACGACCTCAATCTTCATGTCATATTAAAAAGTATGTCAAAAAGACAGGGAATGTCCCTGACAACACTCATAAAGAACCAGGGTTCACTGGCGCAACTACACTGCAATTTGGCAATGCTTAATAAATGTCGAGATTCAAATAGTTACAAATCACCAAAACCACCCTTAACAACTTCTTGCACGTACGAACAAAGGGACATTTATATGAAGATTCCTACAGCAGCGTTTTAGGGAAAAAAATGGAAACAGTCTACCAACAGGAAAATAAATTATGCTATATTCACACAATGAAATATTATAAGTTTAAATTAGATCTACATATATCAACACTGATCTCTCTTGAAAGACATGTTACAGAGTGAAATAAATAATGATACCATTTATGTTAACTTTTAAAATATAAACAATAGTATGTTTCGCTTATGAATACATACTTATATAATAAAACTATAAAAACACATACAGAAAAAATATATACCATTTTGAGGATAGTGAAGGTATAGGAATGGGATCAAGGTGAGTGATCTACCTGAAGTTGTATTTCTAAACAAATTTGAGTTAAAAACAGCCAAGTATAAAATGTGTTAAATTCAGTTGGTGAGAACGTGGAGTTTGTTTCTACTCCTTGCTTCCTTCCGCATGTAAAGAGGGCCGGTCTTTCCACTCGATCACTACTCTTGTCGTAAGCCTATCAGTCACAATGTCGCCCTCTTCTCTTACCTCACACAGGTATTTGCACTCGCTATTGACAGCAGTTCCAAATCCACTCCCAGAGGTTTTTTGGGAACAAACTCCAACCACGGAAAGCTCTTTAGATGAAAGCCAGGAAAGCACACAAACTGGTTCTGGCTCGTCCACTCAAGTGTTCACTTACCTCCTTCACAACACTGTAGGCCTTGGCCACGCCTTCCCTCAGGTCCACGGGCTGGTGGGCTAACCGGTGATGAGGAAACCTTTTGATCTTCTTGGGCTCAACAGAAAGGGTACCAGGAGACACCATGTCATAAGCAGTCTCTGCTGCTGCCTGGATCATCATAACAGAAAGTAAGCAATGAATCAGAAGGAAGTTAGGAGAGCTACGCTCCAACAGCGCACTTCCTACAGGGAGTGAGGAAACACAGAGGGACTCACACACCCTGATACGGGCACGTCGCAGTGTCTGAATTCTTTACAACAAGCATTTATTACTTTTATAAAAAGAACATTAAAGGGTACATTAAAAACTAATATCTGGATTGAGCTTATTTTTTCAGCCCCTCCTCTGTCCTCTGAGAACACTCCCTGTTATCATGTTAGTCAAGAGTGCACAGTCTGTGAACAACTGGATAAGGTCAACCGGCACTTAATCCTTAATATAACAAATTTCCACAGGACTACTGTTTGATCTATAATTTACATTTACCTATGATCTTTTCACATAAATGTGGTGAAATAAATCCTCAGCTAACTTAATGGTTATAATTTACCTGAAACAGGCAAACAAATTTGACACTGTATTCCACTGCTTTATTCTACTAATTATATAACACTGGACAGCTAAGCAATAAAACAAGCATGATATTAAATCAATACAAATAAAGTACCTACTCTCAACATTTTGTATATTTTCACAGTATCATTTTAAAACAAAATAACCCAACCATTTTACAATGGCTCTTCCTCTTTGTATAGATTTAGAAAGTCCGTGGAAAGATACCTGTATGGTTTGAACCATTCTGTTTGTAAGTTCTAGAGCAGCCATCGCTGTTGAGGTGCCAAAGGAGGCCGCGCCTCTCTGAAATCCTCGGACAATGCGCCCATCCTTCCGATATTGCTCTATTGGTAACCAGACCAAGTCCTTCAGGCCTTGCACTAGAACAACAGTCAACACATAGAAATCAACGGGAGTGTGGAGCTCAGATCTCCGCTGTCATTCTAACCCCTGAAATGTGAGGCAAAGCTTTGTATGTATGACTACACATGTAGATTTTCTAGAAAGATGGTCCTCATGTAGACTCTCAAAGGCATCCATAACCCCAGAAGGGTTAAGAAACACTGATCAGGCAAAATAAATTATCTTTTGATTAAAAAAGAAAACTCACCTAATTGTACTAGTGAATGCATAGGCCCCACACCTCCCAGGATTCCTGGTAGTTGGTTCTTCTTAATGTCAGTAAGCCATTCAGTGATTGCATATGAGAATAATTTGTCAACACCTAGCAAACTAGAGGAAATGACTATTAGTATATGGAAAGGAGAAAGAAATTTACAGGTTTAGACAAGTTTGGGGGATTTTTTTTACTTAAGATAAAAAAAAAAACTTACAAATTACAAGGACAAAACATTACAGACAATCAATCTGAATATATACATATATATATGTGTACACACATATACATAATCCATATGTAATGTTAATTTCTATAATGCTTAGGTAATATGTATAAGTGTGTTTCTCCACTGTTCTTATTCTTGAACATCTAAAGCTCTGACATAGGATTAACTCAACATCTATAAATTGCCACATGGTTCTTAGCTATCAAGAATTACTACTTTGTGAATTTCCGGTCTTTTCACTAAATAAGCTAATTTACAACTTTGGGAAATTTAAAAAAATATAACTATAGCTGTTTTTGAAAAATACTACTCTGTTCAAACTACTTCTACTCTTTCAGAATAAAAATAGCCCCTAATCAATAAGAATCCTCTAAACATGAGCTCTCTACAGACAATACTGTAAAATAATTAAACTATATATGCTTGCTAAGAAAACTCAATATTTAATTTGTTGTACACTTTAGTAAGCACACCGTACAGCCTCACAGAATAACCCAACTTACCCATGTCGATAGAAGAGCCTCTTCAGCTTTAGTTCAGAGCAGTTTAACTGCGCCAGACCAATCAAAATCCCGGCTAATGTACCCTTTAAAATTAAAAAAAGGCCAGATTAATCTGTAAATTGAGAGAGTCAACATTTAAAATAGTTTTTATCTGGGAAAGTCAAAGCAATATTCACTAAGGAGGCTAAAACACTTAAATTTTTACAGCAAAAAAAATACTTATAATATGTATGACCCAATTTATATCAAATTTTACTCACGGGACCTTAAGTAAATGATATTTAATTTACTTAAAACAATTAAATTTTAACATCTTGCACTTCATTTCAAACATATATATAAACTATGACAGAAAAAAGTTTGAAAAAAATTTAGTCCCTTAGAAAAACAAATGAGAAAATTTTGTAGAGTATATTTGTGCAAAGTTTCCGAACCTGATCCATTGATACATGTTTGCCATGATAATCAAGTCGAATAGGAACTTCTGATGTGAATCTAAATTCTCTGAAGATAAAGAAAGGAGGGAAGTTATTTACATTCAAAATTACTAATAGTTGAAATTAGATATAAATTAATTTGTTCAACTGGAGAATAAAAACAAAACCACAAAATAAATAATGTGAACATCTTAAGGCCTAAATAAAAGAGAATGTCTTTTAGTTCTACCTTTTCTTAAGGTAATATAACAAAAACTGATGTTAGTCATGTTATAAATTGTATTTATTTTATTATGTTTCAATTTTCTCACAAAAACTTTTTACTAGTTTACTAAATAATGTTTACCTTAGAAAAATTTATTCTGGCAGATATTCTCAATTCATAAAGAAAACAAATTAATAAAAGCAACCTTTAAGATTAAAGCAAATAATATACTCATTACCAAGAAGTAAAAAAGAGAAGAGGTAAGGTAATTATTTTAGCTCCATGACGAAGCAGAAGGAGCCCGGGAACCCGGACATGAGTCCCGGTTTTACCAGCTACATGGGATGCAATCATGGGCAAGTAACTTCCACTCTCTGAGTATAAGTGTCTTCATCAGTAAATTTAGAAAGTACCACCTACACTGGTGAATTTTAGTGAACATTCTTGAAATTAAAGCTCGTGAATAGGATATGGACACACAAATACTGGGAGTTCTGCGAGAATGGAATTATAATTATACCCTGATGGTACACACCAAACAAATGGAGCTGTTCTCCACAGCTGGACTGTAAAGCGGAACTTGGAACACATTTTTTCTACAGAACTGACGTCACTGGTTATACCCTACGCCATCCCAAAAAAGCCCACTTAACTACAGTGACACGGAAATGCTGTATTTACAGCAATCACTACAAGAAGCCTGGAATCCCAAGTCATCCCTCATCTTCCGAATACTCATCTCCGTTCAGTTCTCTGGGCAACAGAGCCTCGATACCTGCCTATCTGCCTCTTCCTTTCTTGCTCTTTTTTTCTTTATGGCATATACTAGGGCAAATCATATATTTTAATTGTTTGTAAGCTCCATTCAATAGGGATTTTTCTCTACTTTGTTCAGTGTGCCTCAAACAAAACCTGGCATACAAATAGTAAGTACTCAATAAATATCTGTGGAATGAAAACTGCTTGGCAGGTGGAAGGCGAAGGACTATTACGCCGCCTTTCGGAAAATACACTGAATTTGGGATTTAAGACTGTGTTCTAGCCCTGGCTCGGCCACTAACTAACTGTGTGGTCTTGAGCAAGTCAACTCACCTCTCTGGGCACTAACTTCCTCATCTGTAAAGTGAGTAATCTGTACTATATCACTGATCACCACCCCAGGGTCCTGGACCCTCGAGGAGCTTTTGAGAGTAGAAACAGAAATCTATAGGCTATTCTAAATAGTCTAATGAGAAAAATAAACATTAACCTAAGTAAGTTAAGGCTACATAAGCTGACTAAAAAGTGTCAAATTTCTTGGCTTTCAGGCCAGAATTGTAACAATTCAATTTCTTTTATACTTAACCAGTGTTTACAAAAAACAAACTGGTAGTTTATATGTGATGAATATAAAATGAGAATTTAAATTATTACATAGGATACACAATTTTTTTGGTAGGAAAAATTTTTTTAAATAAAAAGACCAATGTGGAAAATAATAAAAGAGGTTCTTTTGTGGTGAAAAGGTTTGGAAACATTAGAGATCATCTATCCCAGGATCTTTCCAATTCTCATATTCTATTATTTTTTTCTATGTATTTTCCTCAGTATACAAGGTATTTAAAACATGAAAACATTTTAAAATAGTTATACTGCCCACTTTAGGCTATACCTGAAGTCTAACCTCAGAACTTAGAGGGAAAGAGAATTTGGGGATCACTGATGTCAACGGGAGAAGAATACGGAAAACCAGGAAAGGCAGCTAATTGTTCTCACAACACAAGTGGCTTTGATCTTCATCCCTCCTCCTTCCAACAGAGCCAAGACTCCATCCCTACCAGCAAGGGTTGGGAAAGAAAGACGATGGGAAGAATAAATGGGTTTGGAAACGAGGGATAAACTCCAATGGGTTTAGGAAGGGTCAGGAATGACACAGTGATGAGGAAGGGCAGACAGAGAAAACCAGATAGACAATCCCCATAGAGGAAAAGGCAGGAATGCCAAAGTTGAGGGGAGAGGGGGACAGAAGGAAGAAAAAGGGAAGAAGCTAAGAGGAAGAGGAAGAGGAAATTCCTACCACAGAATCAACAGAGAGATGAATCCTGACCCTGGGTTACTAAGTGTAAATGAGAGGTGCAAGTTAGGTGGTGATCACACAGAAATAAATACACCAGTTGATTATTTGGCGCTGCAAAGAAAAGCTGGCATGACCTCATGACTACCAGTACACAAGTGCATTAAAGAACAATCCTCAAAACTCTAAAATCACTTCATTTGTTATCAAAATTAAATGATTTACCTAAAAAAGACAGGCTGATCACTAAATGACGTTTCTTCAGCTAAGAAGTCCTTCTCTTCCTCCCCATTAGCCACTTCCACGGAACTGGCACTACCATTTTGGGAAGGGTGCTTTGGCCCAGGGAAAGAAAGAACTAGATTTGGCTCCTTTGAGGAGCTTAAATGCCTTGGCAAACTGCAGGTGACATCAGCTCCAGGAGACTTTTTAACTGAAAACATAAGTGCACATTTGAAAAATCAGGTATGTTTCCTTAGAGTAACCATTTTAAATCAATCTAGATTTAACTTGTTTTTGCTACATTTCACTTAATAAACACAATTACTACAGAGAAATTTGACTTTCACCTTTTAAATTATTACTTTTACATAAACTATATTTGCATAATTTAAAAATAAACACAGAATACATTTATATAAATGAGAATAAATATTGTAAGTATATTCTCAAAAAGCCCTCATAACAATCAAAATCAACCCAAATACTTGTTATAGACTTTTTCAAACTATACATATTTAATACCTTCTGGATCTGGAGCCATTAGAAGCTCTACTTCTGTAGTAAGACTAGTGAAGAAATCCTTCAGGAAGAACAAGGCATCCTAAAATTAAGAGACATAATTATAACTAGAAGGGGGGGGAAGGTACATCTATTTCTAAAATCATGAAACAAAGTACCTTAACGTCTCATATTTTACTCATTATTCACATACAGCTATAATATATTGAGTCCTTACTCTGTGTCAGGCATTGTTCGTATTCTCAATCTCTTCTCTCTCTCCCCCACCACACACACATACACACACACACACTTCATTGTTAATTCTCACAACTCTATGAGAAAATTAATTTATAGATGCGAACATTAAGACACAGAGAAGTTAAAAATTACAAAGCTAGGAAGGATTTCTAAAAGTACATTTTAGTTTTTTTGGAAATACAGCATTCTTACTCAGCATTAGTTCTCATTCTAAATTGATAGTGGTAACATTACTAACAATAATAGTAGCAGCAATCATGTACTGAATATTCGCCATGTGCCTTAAAAGTTCTTAATGTCTTATTCCTGCTTTACCACTATGTTTTATTGCCTTAACACATTTTCTTCAGTAGACATGATATTCAAAACAAAAATTAACAAGAAAATCACCCATTCAGTGTGGTCTCTTCCGAAATTATATAATTACAAACAAAAATGTATGGATCTGTCTTGATGCTGTACATGCAAGCCATATTTGCCGGTCATTAGCAGCTTCATTTTGCCTACCTCACTCAAACTGACAAATCCATTTTGGAGAATATGAAAATTAAATGCCTGGGCCTGTTCTTTCTTATTCTTCCCTTCTATTTTAAAAATTCTACATTAATATGAAATATTAACATTGTACTAAAAACAATGTGAAGGTGAATTACAGGGTCACAATATTTGGTAGCACACCAAGTTTGACCAACAATTCAAAAGCATCTGATCAACTACTGATCACATTTATCAGAAGTATAAATGATGTAAGTTAGAAAGGCATTTTTCTAAGTAACATAACATATGGGAGATTGAGGGATGGGCCTGAAGAGCAAGCAGGTAGTTTCAACAGTATTAGAAATATTCTAGTTCTACAGTAGGGTAGTAGGTTCATGAATTTTTCATTATATTATTATGCTTTACACATATATATTTATATATATTTTATATATTATTTACATGATACACATTTATTATATATTACTATATATGCATGTGTGTGTGTGTATATATATATATCAAATATTACATGGTAACGAAGTTAACAGTATATAAAATGTTATTCTTTGGCCACTAGATGGTGATATTTTAATGCTATAAATGTTTTGACTCCATGACTGACTTCAAAAAACACACAGAAAATTCCAGGTATAAAGTTGCTCTTTAAAAAAAAGGAAGACTCAAGAAACAGTAATTTTTACTACAAACGCACAAAACAACAGACAAAGGGATACTATTCATCAGCTTTTCAAAATGTTCTCAGAATTTTTAATTTTGGTATTTATGCTAAACTCTTTACAACTCAGTAAGACAAACAACCTAATTTTAAAACTAGCATCAAAAAGACTCTTCACAAAAGAAGATATACAAATAGCGAGTGAGCACATGAAAAGATGCTGAGCATCATCAGTCATCAGGGAAATCCAAATTAAAACCACGATGAACACCAAGTCAAACAGCTAAAATTAAGAAGACAATACCAAGTTTGCTCAGAGTATGAGGCAGCTGCAGCTCTCATCTGTTACTGGTAGGAAAGTACAATGGTACAAAACTGTGAAAAACTATTTGGCAGCTTCTCATGATGGTTAAACACACATCTACCCTATGACTCAGAAATTCTGTTTATATATATATATTTTGTTGTTGCTAGTGCCCAACAATTCCAACTCCTAGCAACCCTGTGGACAGCAGAGTGGAACCCTGCCCAGTGTTTTTGCACCATCCCCTCACCTTCCAGCACTATATCAGACAATGCTCTGCTGCTATTCATAGGGTCTTTTTCATGGCCAATTTTTCCAGAAGTGGGTGGCCAGGTCCTTCTTCCTAATTTGTCTAGTCTGGAAGCTCCGCTGAAACCTGTCCACCATGGGTGACCCTGCTGGTTTATGAAATACTGGTGGCATAGCTTTCAGCATCACAGCAACACGCAGCCACCACAGTATGACCGACAGACGGGTGGTGTGGGTCCCTGACCGGGAAACAAACCCGGGCTATGGGGGTTAGAGCGCTGAATCTTAACCACTAGACCACCAGGGCTGGCTATATATATATATATATTTACCCAAGAAAAATAAAAACATATGTCCATAAAAAAAAAAAAGACTTGCATGCAAATTTCATAACAGCTTTATTCATAAGGGCCAAAAACAAGAAAAACACAAATGTAACTCAATAAATAAATGGATAAACAAATTGTGGTATATCCAATGAAATAACACCCAACAATAAAAATGAATAGTTGATACATGCTACAACATAGATGAACCTCACAAACATAATGTTGAGTACAGGACGCAAGATACAATTTCATTTACATGAAGGTGTGGAACGGGAAGAGCTAATCTACGGTGATGGAAACGACGTAAATGGTTGCTTTGGGGTGGTGGAGACTGACTACAAAGGGACATGAGGGGACTTTGTAGGTTACAGAAAATGTTCCACGTTTCAATTGGTGTAGTAGTTACTCAAGTGTATACATCTGTCAAGCTCAAACTGTATACCTAAATCTGTGCATTTTATTATATGCAAATTACACCTCAATACAATTTTTTAAAACTTAAAAAAATATGGTTTATTATTTATGCTATACTTTGACTATAAAATAGTTATTTGTAGCTTTAAAGTCCTATGATAGAGGATATTAATACTGCAATATGACAAAATGTTAAAAGAATTACTTTTAATGTCATTCTCAGGCAATTAAGCAACAATGCTGAAAAACCACAGATGTACAAACTGGTTCTGCTACACATTCATCATTTCCAACCTCAGCTGAGCACTTACTTACCTTACTAGAATGGTCTCACACCTCATCTCACAACCTGAATTAGGCCTTCAATGCCTTTACAAAAATCTTAACGTAGCTAACTCCAGTGCATTCCTTAAGACCCAGCTCAAGTGTTACTCCTTCCTGAAAGCCTTTCCTGATCACCTCACTCTTCCAAACTCCCAGCCCAGCTTAGGAACCCTCTTCTGTGGGTCATATCTTTACGCCTATCTTACCAGTTGTATTTATCAGAGTGTTAAAATGATCTGTTTTATGTCGGTCCCCCCAGTATTCAGAGCTCTTTGAGGATGGGAATGTTTATTCATCTTTGTATCCCCAGTATCCTAGTACAGAACCTGGGACAAAGCTGGCATTCAGCAAATGATTCGGAATTAATTAACATATCTTCCCTACACACATTTCTGGGCATACAATACTAAAATGAACACTAGACTAAGAGAGTCAGGAAATCTGGCCACGTCATATTTCAGATCTCACACTGCCTAGTTATATGACCCCCATCATCTACTTACCCCCCTACATGGAAGTCACTCCATCTGCCTAGTTTCCTGCCTATCCTACGTGCTGGGCACACTGGGCTTTGGAAGCAATTGCACCGAACTTCAACAGTAATGCAGCTTTTTAAAAACATGAGAGGGCCGGCCCCGTGGCTTAGCGGTTGAGTGCGCGCGCTCCGCTACTGGCAGCCCGGGTTCGGATCCCGGACGTGCACCGACACACCGCTTCTCCGGCCATGCTG